AAATGCTACGTAACTTTTCCATGATGAGTATTAAAATTTAACAGCCTCCGAATAGTGGACGTTTTTATAAACAGCCGACAAAAGATAATGCGCGTTTATTCATATTGAGTTCAGTGAATATTTCACAAAGTCGCCTGTGTTTCGTGAAAGATACGGACATTTTCTTGGCTTTCTTATGAGATTAGCCAAAAGTTATTGTTAATAGTTTCGTTTTGACATCTGTATCAATGATAAAAACTAGGCTTATAAATTGCTACTATCGTTATGTAGATATAAAAAAAAATTGTTTTTGAAAAAAATAAAGCTCTGTGGATCACGGGACCCCCTGGTAGGAACTATGCTTAGAATTTAGAGTATGCGAATCAAACGGTTACTATGGTTACTTTGGATACCATGGTTATAAGCCAATTGTTCATTTTGGGTTAGCAACCAAAAATAAACATATTCGTATTCGTATTTAAAGTACTCTCGCCAAACTATTTAGACTGCTATCTTGAAAAATTATTGGGAACTTGACACTATGCGTATCTAGAATTATCGCTACCTGCTGTCATTATTTTTTAAATTTTTATTGAGATCAAATACAATCTGTACAATTTACAGCACAATAAGTATATGTGTTAAGGTTAAGTGCCTACAAGATAGCACTCGCGTCGGTGCATTTGTGAAATAATGACGGCCTATTAGGGCAAAGGAAAATAGAGGTTAGCACCCCTGCACGTATTATCACTCGGTCACCCCCAATTAGCATCCTGCAGTTTGTGATATATGCACTTACTAATTAACTCTTTATGATATATTTCAAGGTCAGAAGGAATCAATAAACCACTATGTCACAATCCGAAAATCAAGCAGAAGATATTGAGAGCCAATTTTTGATCGAATTAAAAATAATAAAACGGGAAGGTTTGCAGTAAGTTTTTTTTTATACTTACTATTTTATTTCCATTATAACTCGAGCGTATTTTCTAGACGGTTAATCAGACAACGTAAAGCAGTGGTGAGCCAGGTTGTCCGTGGTTCAATCAGAGAAGTTGTACTCATAGATCACATCAAAAATGAAAATCGACTATTAGACGTTGCCAAACAAAAGCTCAGGGTAAGCACTTGATTACATCATAGGCCGTCGTCAAATTGTTTACAATATTGTCTACCGATTTTCTAATATATAATGTATTTATGAAATATTAGACGACAACAAAGCCCGTTGATGAGGATCTTAAATCAACCGTACTTGAGTTAATGACGAATCGTGTCAGCGAATTGTATAACATGCTGATTTTCCAGTTTCTGCCGACCTCAGAACTTTAAAAAAATACGTATTCTTTTGCTTGAACAATGTATGTAAAGCGATTTATGCACAGTTTTTTAAATGCCGTCAAAGTTATTTTCATAAATCATCTTCCTATTTCAGAATTTACTAATTGAGTGCAGAGCGACGTTAAATATCCTGTCAGAGATGCCGGGCCACATCCGTGTACGTGTGTGATGCGAATTTCAAAGAAAAGTTAAAATAAAAACCCAAACATGCTTGAGTGTATTTTTTTTTATTGTTTCTAGATAGCATTTATTTAAAATAACTGTATCGTATTGTATTTTTTTTTTTAATCAGTTTAATAGATCATTCGATCTTGAATCATAAAATTATATAAAATCATTGCCAAAGTAATTAACAATATAATTTTGAAAATATTTTTAAAACACCCGTTGTCAGTCGATTCAATCTAGTAACCAAATCATTTAGATTTGTATAGAATATCTTACTTGCTTTTAATTTTTTTTACGTTTAAAGTAATGGGCTTTAAAAAAACCAAAATCTTTGATATCTTTTCAACAATAGAGACATAAAATAATTTAACTTAACTGATGTTATATTGGTAATATTATTAGACATGAATTTATGCATAATAACTACGAATCGCTTGTGAGAATTAATTGACATAGTAATAAAATCAAATTTAATTATATTGTTTTTGTTTTTGAATGCTTACTTCTTGCAAGCATTTGTGTATGCAATAGGTGACTGTTTAAACATGTACACTAAACTCCACAATATCAAAGTATAATTTCTCGTATTTTAATAAAGAGTTTTAACATCACGAGACGAATAAATTACACAACTTAAAATATGTGTTGAACAGGTTTCTGTGTTAGACAATACATTTTACAATTACTAAACACAATAATAACGATGATAGATCAACACAATATTCCCAAAAGGAGTTCAATGAATATAAAAAAATGCCAGTAGGGTGGGTTCGGAGCAAAATGCCAAAAACTAGGTATACTTAAAAATAAAAATGCCATCCCTTTTGGGGTAGGGGGGTCAAGACACAACACAAAATAATATTGGTCTTATTTCCAGTTTTGCCCTACTAAAAAAGTATAGTAATAAATAGAGTATCTACTTCTTCAACGGTGAAGGTATTAATTCTATTTTCTTGGGTTTTTTTTAAACAAATCATGATAGAATATATTTAGAATGTACGAGTAGCATAGAATATACTTTTATAAGAAAATAAAATAAAAATATAGGTTATAATTTCAATTTTTCGAAAACTGTAACCGTGTTAAAATGTTTACCTTCAAATATGTATAGGTAATATGTTTTCGATTTTAGTGATATTTTTTAGTCTACACCAATATACCACTTTTGATAAAAGGAGTATAAAATAATTTTTAAAAAAACAAGGTTTTACTGTTTGAGATACTTATAATAATATTTGAGCCCATTAAAAAAAAATCGTCAATTCCATATGTAAAAAAAAAACATCTTAAGCACAAGGATATGAAATTAATTTATAAGTTCTAAGTATACGTAGCAAAATAATATTTTTAATAAAATGTGTTGTCCGGACAGAAGAGGCGCTAGTTATAAAAGCCCAAGGAGAGTATTTTATATCAAAACAGTTTATTATGTTTGGCAATTTTCTACAATACCTTCAATAATTTACATTGGTATTTCAATCTATAGTAATTAATATGTACAATAAAGGTATTAACTGGTATAGATTTTAAAATCCACCAAACAGGTATAAACTAAACGTATTTCAGGACTTCGTATCTTGACCCTCAAGTCCAAGGTAAACCCAACTGCGGACATTAAATTATAATTGGCACAACCTCTGAATATTATTATAAAAGAGGGCTTTTCACATCCCTCGAATATGTAACAGCATAGTATAGTATATGGAATTTATTTAAATTTATTCAAACGTAAAATATTATTATATGAAGATTTAATAATATTTTATCGTTTGTTATATTGTTTTGGTTTTTGTGTGATGTACAGCATATAAAAAAGTATAATGTTATTTTATTTCACATAAGTAAATATGCAGTATTTTTTTGGGTTACACTGTTCTTACAACTGTACAATTGGTTCAAAAATCAACACTTCAACTATTTACATTTTATAATATTTTGTATTTTTTGTTAACATATTACAAAAAATTATAGCAAATACTTTTTTTGAACATTAAACTTTGTTAAATTTTCCTAAATGAACATTTATAATTATTGCTTTATACAATTGGAACATTTCATTTTCTTAAATAGATAACAAACAATGAAGACTAATTATAGATTTATATTTATTATTAATTCTCCCGAAGTTTAGGAACCCGACTATCTGAAAAACCAATTGAATTTAGATCTTCGTTTTTAAGTGTAGATTTTGATCTTTAATATATTTACAATGTATTTATTACAACACTATCTATCATTTCACCAAAACAACTGTATAGCAAAGAACTGTAAAGAATTTGTAAAAAAATGTTTTTACTACATATTTCAAAAAATTGTATTACAAATAACGAACCTGACTAACACATATTCTTAGGTATCAGTAGTTATAACTTATATGTCAAACAGTATTTTACAAACAGTATTTTTAATTATAATAAAATTATCTATATTGTATGTTACAGAAAATGGCGAAAAGCCTAGCCCCTTTCAACCCCCTTCTCCAAAATCCTGAACTGACTGAAAGCGATCCTGTCCGCTGTAAGGACGAAGGTAAAAGAAAGGAAACGGCTGGACTGGTTGCCTAAAAATCAACACCATTCTAATAACTTAGAACCAACGTCCAGTAGACATAATATTTTAAGTGGAAGACCAGACAGTCAAACCGGCTAGTTTTCTTAGGGTAGTATACACACTGTTAGAAACCCCTTCAGCCTCACGCTCGCGAACCAATTGTCTTTCCCTAGATTCATCCAAAATATCTCATACCATCGGACTGACCCAAACAGGTTTGATTTGAAACCGATTTAAGGAATTCGCTACTGAACTCCAAGTAAACGTAAAACCGGGCATTGCGTAATAATTTAGAACTGCGACGATAGAGATGGCCGGAGTATACGCTTCTACGACAAGCAGCACCATCGTTTTTACCGCTAAGATAGTCGACTAGGAGACCAAATACCATGTCAATATCTTATATACACTATGGGAAACGCCGCAGGTACAACCAACCAGTTGCTGGATGACACCGAGTATAACCATATACCCATCTTGGCTACTTAAGATAGGTTGGTGTCCCTATTTTATTAGATAGCTTAGAGAGGATTACGACACCCTCCCGTTGACCATGTAAGTTATGTGGATAAGTTTAATGACATACACATTTTAGAAGGATTTTCACGTACTTTGAACATTTATAGTCACATACTATAGTGTATGGAAGTTTTTTTTTTATTTAAACGAATATTGTTAATAGGTATATAAAGATTAAAAGAATTCATCTTTTGCTAAATATTGTTTTTGTGCGATGTACAGCAAATAAAAATATATTGTTATTTTATTTTTCTGGCTCACCATAAGTTTACAAATGTACAATTGGGTCAAAGAACAAGTCTTTAAGTATATAGTATGCAAATAAAATAAACCGCAAAACAAATACCTACTAATATTTTCCACCTACATATCTATGATTATTTTATCAATCACACCATATAAAAGACACCCCGAATCGAATCGAATTCCACTGTTCAACCAACTTTGGTATCGAAGACGTACTTCTGGTTCAACAAAGTGTTTGGAAAATATTACCATTATGCATTTCAAAAGTGCTGTTATCTTTTGTGCGTTATACTTCGTGACGATGACACAAGTTAGTAAAAAACATATAATAAATAATATAATTGCAATAAACAAAATTTAAAAAAATTTAATAGAATGTATTATAATTATTGTACTTATGATATTATATAGAGCATCGGACTCACTAGGAATATAATCAATAGGATTGTAGTTGAATTCGAAAGAGTCGAAAACTCTATAGACCAAATTTCTCCAAATGAAATCGAAGAAATTATAAAAGATATGGGCGTGCAGGATTTGTCAGGTTTTACATACGAAGCAGGTAATAAAGTATATTTTATACAGGGTTTAAACTTTGCGGTTGTAATCAAATTTTACCCCACTCACAAAAATTATATCCGACATCACAATATTTACCAATTTTTCAATTTAACGCACACGTCTTGGCTCTCTCGACTGATAATTGCTAAGAATTTTATTATATTTTTATTTCAAATATAGATACAAAAGACGGTCGAAAAGTACAACAACTTTTGGTACTTTTGGCCCAAACCGATAAGCCATCTGACCACTGGCTGGTAATAACAAAAAAAAATATGAAACAGTTTAAAAATTATCTGATTTTCTTATTTTTATGCACTTTTTTTAACATAGAAACGGAGATTATCAAGCCAAGAAGTAACTATTTACTTGAACCTGTTCGAATATCATGACCAAAAAGGAGGCGAGTTTGATGGTCTAATTAACTCCAAGGAATTAAACAAAATCGTTGAAGCTTTAAATTTAAATGAAAGCGAGAAACAAATGTTGACAGGACGATTCGAAGGTGTTATTCAGTTAAAGAAGCATTTAATTTTATTCCTGAGATTGATAATATAAATTAATTTTAATAGGTGACCTAACAATTAACTTTGCCGAGTTCATACAAGCCTTTTTTGAAATAAAACCACAGGTAAGAAATGATGGTTTCGTTAAAGGCTTAATGAAATACACAATATATTATAATTATGCTTTTACCTGGCATGGCATTTGAAGGACACAGAAGAAAACCGGTAGTAGTCACATTATGAAAATTCTTTTTTCAAATATTTTTTTTCAATTTATGCCTTTATTTTTTTTTTATTTATGTCAATAGATTGTTTAAATAAATAAATGTTTTATTAGAATAGCATTTAATGTGATTTTTTTTTTGTTCTTATGTAAAAGGGAGAGGAATTCACGAACTTTGTTTTTGTTATACTCTAAAATTTTCATAATGTGACTACTACCGTTTTTCCCCTGTGCCCTTCATTTAACATGTCTAAGAAAAATATATGTTGTAGATTTTAGCGCATTATAGCGTTAAAAAAAAGTCAAAATTCATTTTTACACTTAATATTTACATAATATAAATACTTGTACTTAGGGCAATGGTCTAGAAGAGAAACAGATTGATGAGCTGATCCTAATTAAAGATGATAAAGAAGATGGCGCTTACATTAAGACTACTAAAATAACACAGTTTTTCATAGGGTTATCCATAGTTAACGGCTTGGATGAGAAACTGGTTTTTGATCGCATTCGTAAGAATATATTTTTTTATATTTCTCGTTTGTTATTTTTATTTTTCTATGACTAAATTTCATTTATAGAGTTTTAAATGATGTTTTCGTTGGTTTTTTTTATTTATTATTTATGAAATAATCGCAATTTAATTTAGATTTATCAACTCTCATTCAATGAGTATATATTTTAATAAAATAAAAAATGTGTTCAATATTTTGCTCATAGAATATTCTGCTTTGGAGTTGCAAGAGCTGGTGCTTGTTTCAGCAGAATACAACAGATCGGCCGACAAAAAAGTAATATTAATAGTTTCGTAATAATTGCTTTTTGAATGCTTTTATGAGGTCGAACACACCCATTTCTTAAAGGAGTAAAGTATAGGACATTTTCCGTGTGGTCATAACCTAGAGCTTAAACTATAGCGCATACTCATTAATATAGCAATGCATGTGCATATGAAAACAATACTATGACAGCCCATAGAGTATATTATTTACGCGCAACCATGTTATAACACTAAAACTAACGAGTGGGTACCGTCCTCTTATGCACAACATAATCTAAAGATTTTCTACATGAATTTCTTTGTTGATTTCTTAGACTGGAACCGTCTATTCAACAGAAATAGTTAAAGAAGTGTTAGCGGATTTCCATCAGTTCGACCATAACCAGAACGGTAAAATCTGTAAGCATGAAGCTATACATATTGAGAGGATGTATTTCCCGAAAAAGAAAAACTTTGGCTCTCTCATTGACGCATATGATACCGATGGTAATATTGAAAATTATAGCTTTATCAAAATGAGTTTAATTTTTTAAATAACTCTCATAGTGAGAACGAGCATAGAGTACGACCTTGACGGTTTTACGAGTGTAGGGTTTTTTACAGTGTAAAGTAGTAATGAGTAGTTTTACAACTATGAAAAATATCTTCGGAAAAAGATGGCTCATGCTTTAACAATAAATATAAAATATCATAATATTATATTGGGCAAAATGTTGGAGTGGATCTAGAGACAAAATAAAATAAACTTCTTAACTGATAATGTTTTACTTTTTAGCCGATGGATTGTTGGACGTTGCGGAATTATTCAGGTTGATGTTTAAGGAGCGTGTAATTGTTGTTTAACGCTAAAAAGGTTGATGTGTTTTTGCTGAATTAAATATTATATTAAATGATTTCTAAACGAATATTCTTTGGGAGTGCTTTAATCATGGGTAATATATTTGAAATTTGATGTTTTATGATTCTTTTCAAAATTGTATAATTTTACACATATATTTTATTTATTTAATGATTTTATTAAATGTACAACGATATTAATCCATGTTGATGAATATAAGATACGATTATTTAAGTTTGTTTTTGTCAATTCATAAAACGATTTAATAAATCATGTAACACTGTAAAAGTTATGTTTTTATTTCGAAATCATTATAATTACCTATCCCAGGCCTTGCAAGCCATCTAGTTCCTGTATGCATTACACAAATTAAAAACAGTGTAACAATATTTTCAAAGTATTAACGCGATGAATCGCTGTTATAAGGTGTCGATATTATAATCGACACTGATCGAATAGCTCTAATATAAAAATCCAAAATTTTAGAAATAATGTGTCTCTCAATTCTCAAAAGGAAAACTCCTATGTCATCACTCACCCAGTTAAGAAATATTAGGTGTCTAATAAAAATTTTGCAGACATACAAATGACAATTGGCGTATTATGAAAATAGTTAAATTTTGAAAAGACAAATTAATTTTTTATTATTATATTTATATGAATAATGATAGTATTCGTGTTTTAGTTTTAAAACGTCACAAATAAAAATGAGGCAGTATTGTTTTGTATAAAAAAATTAAACGCCTAACTACGCAGTATCTAATCAATTTTACATTTCAAACAATTGGCAAAAACAGAATAAAAAACAAGTAGTTTTTTAAAGTATTTTGAATTTTTTGTTGGTGATTATAAAAGGCTTACAAACAAGTGGACCAATCGGTAAAACCGCCCAGACACACAGTCCTAGCATTGTCGCTGTATGAGCGATCGGTATAAGATATTATTATAAATAATGTCAATTCAAATAGCCGACGTCCCGCCAGTCGCCTAATCGTCTCTTTCATGGGATTCATATAATACATCTCGCTCATAACACAAGCATCTGAGGCGGCTTAGGCAGCGCGTGGCGTTGGCGCGCGTTTTTATCATGTCACAACGTTATCGTATCAAATAATAACGGTGACGGCGTGTGTTGTTTTTTTGCCGAGTTTGTACTTTCCTTAAATTAAATTAAACGTAAATTTATTATTATTATTATTAATTAAACTGTTGTTCATTGTCATACGTGGTTTTTTATTCAATACTGTTTCCCGGTGTGTCAAACGTTATCATATATATAGTAATAAAAATTAAAAACGGCGAACGGCGTGTTTTGTTTTTTTTGGTGAATTTTTGTCTTTGTAGTTTGTTATATCATATACATACAATTATATATTAAACGTATAATAGTTATTATTAATAACATATTTGTCCGTAATTCGCTCACGGTTTTCGTTCAAGAGAAATCGACGTGTTTCCCGGTGTGCAAACATTACCTATTAATATGCGTCGTTGGATGTCGGTACGTTTTTTAGATTTAGAATATATATAATAATATATAGTATAGTAGTATATTACATTTCGCTTAAACTAAATTATCAAATTAATTAGATGTACAAAATTCTTATCTTTTTCAAACCGCTGTGTGTGGTGATAACGATACATTTCATATTTTTTGTTGAAAAATTTGTTGACTACTATTTATTTTCAACTAAATAACTTACTGACTTATTTTATATATATGTAAATTATTTGTTTTAGGCCAATACTATAGTGAAATCATAACCGGCGCGTGTCCGTTTAGAAGATTGATTGCTACTTCTATCTACTCTGTCTTTAATTAATACAATAAGTAGTTATTATTGTTACCATTGGTTACAGACTGTTATCCTATGCAGTCACCGATTAATTTGCCTGCGGCCAACAGAAAACTTACACCGTAGAAGTTCATTTTTTGTTATTTATGAAGTATTTTTTAATAATTAGTGCCTATCTAATCTCTATACTCAACCCTAATTTAAATTGACAGTTTTTTTTTCATTATACAGTGTCTTAACCGACTTCTCTTAACGCTTTAGTTTCTTAACGTGCACACACATACGATACTAATGTACAAATAATTAAGACATTAATTATTTCAAATTTTTTTGTTAAAGCTGTACAATTATGATCACTACATAGAATAAAAATTATTTTAGTTTTTTTATATATTTTTTTTTAATGATATATTATTTCACGTTAAATTGGCATTATTTGAATATATTTTAATTATTTCATTTAGTAGGATGATTTACCTATATAAATATGTATGATCACTATCGAGTACTATCACTAAACGGTTGTTTGGGGTTTTTAAAATTGTTTTTTGACTTAATTTGTGGTTTTAATATTTTAACTTTGGAAAATTCATACATTGTAGGTAAGCTATGTGGAAATCAACAATTCAAGCTAAGAAAAATCTAATAATTGTCATTAAAGTTGAAAATATAGTTTGTATTCTTTGAAATTGACAAACATATAACTTTATTTTTTTAAATCATGTATCTGATTTCACTTTCCAGATAATTTTTTTTTTAGGAAGTATTATTGTAAATTATTTAGTAGAAAAACATTTATTTACCTATCTAAAAATAACATAATACATGGATTAATTAAAAAAAAGTTTATTGTTGTTAAAATAATAATATATATATATATAATGAAAAATATTTTTTTAAATAATAATAATAGTATATTTGATGCACTGAATAAAAATTGTTCAGATCTAAAAACAATCGATTTTTAGTTTTATAAACCTGGGGATACTTTTGTGTGCTTAAAATGTATATAAATTATTGACATAAAATATCTATGTGTTCATTCCGCTCTAATAAGAAATAACTATATCACATGATCTAATTTATTTTAATCACATTATACATAGCAACATCTTTGCTATTGTAATCATTCCGGTTTTTACTCCCTGGCTTTATAATACTTATTTAACCAACGAATAAATGCATTTTTACACAGTCTTATTATAAAAAGTTATAGGTATGTTTTTTAAAAGCATTAGCAAAAGTCCCTTTATCATCTTTTTAAATTCTTAAAACAGTTGTCTTTAGATTATTTTAGCGTTCAACATTTTGTGTTCTTAGACCGTTTTTATGAGTAGTAATCAAAAATCAAAAAAATTGTCTGAACATTTATTTTTACTAACTATTTAATGTTAATTTTTTATATTATATGTATGTATATATTTTGTTTTTTTTGAGCTGCGGTTGATATAGCTTGAACTAAATTAGATACTTATTAATATTGACTATTTTGGTTTTTTTTGTGGTGTGATTTCAGACATAGGGCTTAATTAAAACATAAAAATAAAATATTAATTTCAAATCATTTTATTGCATTTTAACATTTTGAAGCATGGTGGTATAAGTAATATAGTTTGAACTTTGGTATCGAAGACATAATTCTGGGTAAATAAAGTGTTTGAAAAAAAAAATCATTATGCATTTCAAAAGTGCTGTTATCCTATGTGCGTTGAACTTCGTGGCCATGTTACACATTTTACACTAACATGTTAGTACAAAATGTTTTATACTAACATTTTACATATGTTAGTATAAAACATAATAATACAACTTATAAATGCAATACAAATTTTTAAAAAATGATGGTAGATAATATTATCTATTGTTATTATCTACTTTTGATATTTTATAGAGCGTCGGAGTCAATATGGAACAAATCAAAACAATTATTGATTTAGTCAAAGAACATAAAAACGCTATAGACCAAATTACCCCAGAAAAATTCAAAGAATAGTTAACGGAATTGGGCGTAGAGGATGTGACAGGTTTTACAAATGAAGCAGGTAATAAAGTATCTTTTAAACAGCGTTTAAACTTTACGATTGTAATCAAATTTTACATTATCCCACTAAAAAAAAAATATCACAACAAATAATATTCGTCCAGCACTTACTAATTTTTCAATTTAACGCACTCGTCTTGTGGCTAGCTCAATTCAAATATGCTTAGAATTGTATTTTTAAATAAGTACGAAGACGGTCGAAAAGTACAGAGTGTTATGGTATTTCTGAACCAGAAACAATAAGACATCAGACGACTAGAAAGTAATAAAAAAACATTTTTTTTTAGATTTGTAATTAGTCCATTTTTTTTTTATTTTTACACACCAATTTTACAAAGATCCTAAGATTATCAACCTACGAAGTAACAATTTTTTTGAGCTTGTTCAGACATAACTACAAAATAGAAGGCGATGACGATGGTCTAGTTAACTCCGTGGAATTACAAAATATCATTAAAGCTTTAAGTTTAAACGACGAGCAGAAAAAAAGTTTAACCGGAAAATTCGAAAGTGTTGTTGAGTTAACGAAGCAGTTAATTTTATTCCTACGGTTGATATTTTTATATTAATTTTCATAGGAAACAACGCAATTAACTTCGCGGAATTCTTATATGGCTTTTTGAAAGTAAAACCTCAAGTAAGGATTTATGGTATTGTTAAAGGCTTGATAAAGTACACATATAATTATTCTTTTGCCTGGCATGGCATTTAAAATGTCTAAAAAAAATATATTTTGTAGATTTTTCGCGCATTAAAGCATTAAAAAAAAGTCAAACTACACTTAATAAATTCATGATTTAAATATTTGTTTATTGGGCAAAGGTCTAGACATGAAACAGATTGCAGTTCTGAGCAATATTAAAAAGCACAATATAAATGGCGATTACATTCAACCTGATAAAATAACAGAGTTTATTAAAGGGTTATCTATAGTTAAGGACCAGGATGAGAATCGGGTTTCTGAACGCTTTCGTAAGAATATATTTTTAATATTAACTCGCTGGTTATTAATATTGTTCTATGTAGAGTTGGCAAAACAACTGGTTATCTGTACGAAGCAAAGAGTCAAAAATTATCTTTTATTTAATCATGTTACACATGTTTATTTGTATTTATAAAATAATTGTTATTTAATTTAGATGTTTTAATTACTTATTTGAAGTTTTTCAACTTTGATTCAACGAGTATATTTTAATAAAACAAAAAATGTATTTAATATTTTGACCATAGAGAACTATGCTTTGTAGTTTCAAGAGCAGGAGGTTCTTTTAGCAGAATACAACAAAACGACCAACAAAGAAGTAATATTTATAGTTTTATTTCGATTACGTTTTGTATACTTTTATCAGGACCACTCTTCATTTATTGTAGTAGTTAAGTATAGGAAATTGTTCGCAAAGTCATATTTTTAAGTTGATTGGCTATAGTTTTTTGTTGCCAGGCTATCACGGTAATTTCTTTAAAAAACCATTATATTTTTTCAATGAATATAGTTTTGCGCGAATCAAAACTTAAACTTTAAAAACGTATAGAAGACAAAATTATTGGACCTATCAAAAAATTATAATAGATAATATGCTGTTTTATTTTTTTTATGCAAATTCGGCCAACTCAATGCTATCACACTACAAGTGGATAGCACCATCGTGTGCACTACGAAATCTAATAACGTGCTTCATGAATTACTGTGTTGATTTTTCAGGTTGAAACCGTCTATGATACCGAACGTGTAAGAGCATAAAATGGGGTTGATTTCTTGACCGTCGTTCCGGGTGGAATCTTGCAATTCAAAAAGACTTATTTTTCACCCGCCAGCAAAAATTATGAGTGGTGCGTTTGGGCGTGAACGGTGCTCAGATACGAGCGGTACCAGGTTCAAACCCGTTTTCATCATTACACTTTTTTGCATTTTCTTACAACTTTTATTCAACTTTTATGATAATTTATACAGTAATAAATCTAAAATTATAAGCTTTTAAATTGATTACTAATTCTTATGATAATCCTTCTAACCATGCAGCCTTTTCTATAACATGTTATAAACTTTTTATAACATTGTACATTTATAATACGTCCATACGAAAACGAAAAAGAACAAAATAACTAAAGTAGATTAAAAAATTAATCTAAAAATAACGTTTTTATGCGTCTTAAAAAGTATAAAATAACCCTCCAGGGGTCTTGATAACCAAATAGGACAGATAAACTAGAAAAACGTGGGGCGCATCTTTACTACTTCACACGTCTGAATATATAATAACATTCTCTTCTTATTAATAACTACCTTAATTCATAATTCATGCACAATCATCTTTTCTCTTCTAAATAAAATAATACTTAAAATTGAGCACCACATTACTTTAAATGTTAAGCAAGTAGGTAGTTAACAAAAACATTGAAGCAACCTACATAAAACAATCTTTGGAGAGAATAGCAATTAAGTCTTTTCAATTTTCAATGAAATTTAAGGCAAGTGGCACGGAAATCCATTAAATTTCATTCCCAAAAAAAAGTCATACTATCACTTTCTGATCCGTTCGGTTAGAGAGACAGCATTATGAGAGACAACTTAATGCATTAGCATGAAAGCTTAGGTTTTAATATCTAAGTAGAAAGATGCGCCCCACATTTTTCTAGTTCACCTGTCCTATTTGGTTATCAAGACCCCTGGAGGGTTATTTTATACTTTTTAAGACGCATAAAAACGTTATTTTTAGATTATTTGTTTAATCTACTTTATTTTCTATTTAGACTGTAACGCAACGGAGTGTATGAGTGATTTAACAATTATTATGAAAAGTTTTATCAGAAAATGGTTAAAATGTTGAAGTATATTTAGAGACAAAATAAAATAAATTTTTTAACTAAAAATATTTTGCTTTACAGCCGACCTTTCTTTTGACATTCTGGAGTTATTCATGATGATACTTACGGAGAAAGAAGCTGGTCTTTCTAACGAATATATTTTTTGAGTGTTTTAATCATAGATAATAAGTTTTAAGTTTGATGTTTTATGACTATTTTCAAAGCTATATAGTTTTCTTTGTCATATATTTTAATTGTCTTATAATATTTTAGAAGTAATTTTACGATGAGTTATAATCGAAAACCATTGAATAGTTCTAATTTAAAAATAAAAAAACTTTAGAAAAAAAACAAATGTGTTCTTTAAGTGTCGATAAACTTAAGTGTCTCTCATTTCTCAAAAGAAAAACTACAAAATGTACAAAATGTTAAAGAGTATTTTATCCCTAACTAATATAATAATACAGGGTGATTAATAAAGGACAAGTCACTTGTTTTAGTTCTTTATTCTCAATTAATCACTCTATATTATTTAAAAAATGTATAAAATATAAACGTTACCATTTAAATAGCTATTAAGTACATAAGGTTTAAAAACTTAAGGGATGGTGTTATATCATTAAGAACTATATCAATATTGGGCGACTATTTAACTGTAACTGTAAAAAAAAAGATTTATTTGATTAAGTCTTCTACTTTTTAATTAAAAATTCTCAGAGACCATCGGTGGACAAACGACTATCGATTGGTTTATGAAAAAATTTTGGAATTATATTTCAAAACATTTTTTAAATAAATTTCAACTTATTTTTTTATGCCTTAATGAGAAACGTGGAAGTTATGTTTTTCTTGTTAAATTAATTTAATGCTAATACACCATATATGGTAGTTTATTATTTTTCATCTTATGTCATCCGGTTAAGAATTATCATGTTAAAACGCCTCAAATCTAACTATGAATATTTTAGCAGGATTTCCGCATCCCTTAAATAAATGTTATCACGTAGTATAGTGTGTGGAATTTTTTTTTTTTTAACAAACAAACAAACAATATTATATGAATATTTAATAATATGCATCGTTCGCTACACTGTTTTTTGTTTCTATGTAATTTAGGTACAGCAAAAAAAAATATATATTGTTATATTATTTCACATAAGTAAATAGTAGTTTTATTAGAACAACACTATATTTACAACTGTACATTTTGGTCATAAAAATAAGTCTATATCATATGTTAATAAAATAAAAACAAGTACATTTTCCATTTACATACTTATGTTGTTTTTATCATATAGAATACAACTTGAACCGAATTAAACACCACTGTTCATCCGACTTTGGTATCGAAGACGTACTTTTGTTTTAACAAAGTGTTTGAAAAACAAAACCATCATGCAATTCAAAATTGCTGTTATCCTCTGTGCTTTGTACTTCGTGACCATGACACAAGTTAGTATAAAACATAATAATACAAATTATTATTGTACTTATGATCCTTTATAGAGCATCGGACTAAATATATTTAAAGTTAGAACGATTATTGATTTATTCAAAAAACACAAATCCCATGAAGACCAAGTTTCACCAGACGAAATCAATGAAATTTTTAAAAATATGGGCGTGCAGGATATGACAGGTTTTACATACGAAGCAGGTAATAAAGTATCTTTTAAACAGCGTTTTTCAATTTAACTCACTTGTCTTTGCTAGTTCGATTAAAATATGTTTAATGAATTTTATTTTTAAATATAGATATGAAAGACGGTCGAAAAGTGCAAAGTGTTATGGTATTTCTGGCCAAAAACAATAAGACCTTTGACCACTGGATGGTACTTACCAATAAAAAAAATATTGAAAAATTTGTTATTAATCTATTTTTTTTTAAATTTCACACACCATTTTTTACATAGATCCAAAGTTTATCAACCCACGAAGTAACAATTTACTTGAGCCTGTTCAGAAATCACGAAGAAAAAAAAGGCGATGCCGATGGTCTGGTTAACTCCGAGAAGTTTCAAAATATCATTCAAGCTTTAAGTTTAAACGACGAAGAGAAAAAAAGTTTGGCCGATTATTTCGAAGGTAATGTTGAGTAAACAAGGCAGTTAATTATATTCCTACGGTTGATAATTTATATTAATTTTCATAGGTTACAGTGCAATTAACTTCGCGGAGTTCTTATATGGCTTTTTGAAAGTAAAACCTCTAGTAAGGATTTATGGTTTTGTTAAAGGCTTGACTTAATAATAAAAACATCATTTTAATATTTGTTCATAGGGCAGAGGTCTAAACGTGAAACAGATTGTAGATCTGAACAATATTAAAGATCACAAAATAAATGCCGATTACATTCAACCTGATAAACTAACAGAGTTTATTAAAGGGTTATCTATAGTTAAGGACCAGGATGAGGAATGGGTTTTTGAACGCTTTCGTAAGAATATATTTTTGATACTATCTCGTTTGTTATTAATATTGTTCCATCTAAAGTTGGCAAACTAACTTTTTATCTGTAAGAAGCAGACTAACTAAATTAATCGGGAAATTTGTCATCTATAAACAATGAATAAATAAATTATGTTTTATTTATTAAGTTTTAAATGATATTTTCGTTTATTATGTTTTATATATTATTTATGAAATATTAAGATTTATTATATAATTGTTTTAATGTTTTTTAAATCTGATTCTATGTGTAATTTGAAATAAAATTAAAAATATATTCAATATTTATACTATAGAAACGGCTGCTTTTGAGCTGCAAGAGCTGATGGTTTTTTCAGCAGAATACAACCAAACGGACAATGCAGAAGTAATATTTATAGTTTTATCACGATTGCTTTTTATATTTTTTGATCAAGACGCACTCGTCCATTTATTAAATGAGTAAATTATAGGAAATCGTTCTCAAAGTCTTAATTTAGAGCTTCAACTATAGTGCATACTCATTAATACAGCAATAAGACTTGTTCATTGGCTATAGTTTGTTTTGTTGTCAGGCTATCACGGTAATTTCTTTAAAAAATCATTATATTTTTTCAATGAATATCGTTTTGCGCGAATCAAAACTTAAACTTTAAAAACGAATACAAGTCAAAATGATTGGATCTACCAAAAAATTATAATAGATTATTTGCTTTTCTATGCAAATTCGGTGTAGCATCTTGTTGTACACTACATAATCTTAAGATGTGCTACATGAATTACTTTGCTGATTTCTCAGGTTGAAACCGTCTGTAATACCATTGAGGTTAGACGAGTTTTAGCAACATTCGTTGTGTTCGATAAAGACCATGACGGCTTACTCAATGGAAATGAACTAGAGAAAATGGCGCTCGAGCATTTCAGTCACCTAGACGTTAAATCTATCCTTAAAGATGGCGTTGCCGATGGTAATATTGCAAATTATAGCGTTAACCAAAACGGCTTATTTGTTTTAAACAACTATCATAGTGATCATGAGCATAGTATAAGATCTAGGCTTATGTTTCCACAATAAATATGATATTATAGTGGGCAAAATGTTGAAGTAACACTAAAGAACTAAAATATACTTTTAACTAAAAATACTTTACTTTTCAGCCGACAAGAGTCTTGACATTGTGGATTTATTCATGGTTATATATAAGGTTTATGACACTAATGTTACCAATGAGTGAACGCTAAAAAGTTGTACGAGTTTTTTCTAAATTGAATATTATACTAAATAATTTACCTACGAATATTTTTTGGGAGTGCTTTAAGTATGGGTTATAAGTTTTAAATTTAATGTTCTATTATTCATTTACACGTGTATTTTAATTATTTAATGATTTTAATAAATATACAACAATAATAATCCATATTGATAATATAAGATACGATTATTTAAGTTTGTTTATGTCAATTCATTAAACGATTAAATAAATAATGTAATTCCGTAAAAATTGTTTTGTTTTTATTTCGAAATCATTATAATTAAATCGAATTGTATAAAACACAGCGGAAAAAAATTCAATGAACCCTGTAAGGTATCAAGTGGATCACTTTACGAAAAAACCACACTGTATAATATTATTATACTGTTTTAAACCAATATTGTGTATCACTGCGGCTAAACCTCGGATACACCTCGGATACACCTAATCTAACACGCAACGCAATGTGTGTACTGTATTTACTGATGAAATAAAACGCACGCTTATTACTCATGCAACACATTTTACAAGAGTAAATAAAACGGTGACCATTAAGTCATATGCTGCTACATCGTATGTAAATAGCCCATCTGCCCATAAGTAGCTTTAAGATAGTTTTTAAGCACTTCAAAAACATAATTTTCTATTAAAATGCACGACAGAGGTTGTGGTCAGAGGATTTCTTGAGAGGACACTCAGATTGATGAAACAGACAGCGTTTCACAAACATTAACTTTAAAGTACACAAATAATGTAATATTAGACAAGACGAATTTGGACAATAATAAAAATAATATCAAAAAGCTCAAAACGTACATAGACAAAACGAAATAATCTTCTATGCCAACTGATACAATATTTTTCATGAGATTCTTCATAAAATTGTTCGACAACAAAAGCTTTTGGATCGATAAAGAGTGGACGAATTACTACGAATAAACGAATCATTTTTAATCGAATTTTTCAATATAATGTATTTTTTTCCCAGGTCTCTAAAATTTGACAAAACAATATAACATTTTTACATTGATGCAATTTCAGGACTAAGGTGGGGGACCAGTGATAACTGTCCAAAAGCTTACATTTTAAGGTTTAATTTTTTTAGTAAAAGATTTCTAGGGTATGACCTATTAAAATATTTTTAATTCAAACTTGCAGAGTTTTGGGCCAGCCCAGAAATTGTGCCAACGACAATATAGGTATTTTATATCGCTCCAATCAAATTCCATAGACAAGTAATTGGTTAAGTTTCGTTGATTGTTTAACATTCATATTTTATGTTTTCAAAATATATTTAGCATATTGTATACATTGACAAAATCATTTTAACATATCTCATTGAGTTTTGTCACGGGTACGGTGTGGCGCAGTGGATACCGCAGCTGCCGCAAGGCGCCTGAGGTTAAGCTGCGACCGGTACCGCTTGATCCCGGATGGGTGACCACCCGGGTTTTTTGCGGCAAACCACACCAATAGGCCGACCGGTAAGGACCAAGTTAGCTATGATCCCGGTCAAAATAAGTCCACATGACATTATTATTGAGTTTTGTCGAGTACCAACGTGAAATATGTATTTCATTCTTAAGATTTGTTATTATCATACAATTTGTATTTCTTCTTTTAACAGTTTTACCTATATAACTTATTATAACTCATAAGTTATTGTGTATGCCGTCGCAGTAACTTATGAGGTATAATAACTTATATAGGTAAAACAAATTATAGTAAGTTTTATGAATGTATATTTAAATAATGCTCTAAAATGTGTATCAAATACATAGAAAGCGATTTAAATAACAAATTGACGTGGTAGACAAATATTATGAGACCATATTCGGACTTAGAGGAAATAATCCTAATAAATATATGATGTCTTTGAATTCTTTTACACTGCGAAAAAAATGATACAATTTCGAACGTACAAATTGCTGCGTTATGTTATCATCAGTAATAAATGTACTTGACAACAGAAATTAATAGCTACAATAACAATAGCATTAGGTACCAATAGTATTGTGTGTGTACAAAATATGAGCCATTACGGTATTTAAATTTTAGGTACCTAAATAACAAATTTACCGTTCAGCTCATCCAGAGGTTATAAGCTGAATAATAACACATACACTAAAACGGATAAAATGTTTTTCCATTCAAATTTTTATTATATAAGACCTCTACAATTGTGTTGGACATAGACTTCACTTCGGTTCATAGCAATTTAACAATCGTATATTTTCTTTTAGGTAGGAATATATTATATTTACTAAGCATTTGATGGCAAAATTTACTCTTGCACGCCCTGAACTCGGGAACAACTGTAATACAATACAATTTCAAATGTAGCAACCGCGGACTGATTTATTAACGTTGGTGAAAATGTGAAAATGTGTTCGACGTTGATTTTTAAATATTGATTTTAGTCGCTTACCGAACACGAAGAACACGGCTAAGTCTCAACTATAAAATTAGTACTATAACTAATCCAAACCTAACCACTTGCGAATAATCTAACCGGAAAAATTAAGTGGCAAAAAAAAATTTGGACGTTAACTAAAAATCATGAACATGCAACATGGTTATCTGGCAATTTGGTTCCTCGTCGTTTTCGTTATCCAAGGTAATATGAATTGAATTTTAAACGTTTTTCTAGTGATTTAAAAATATATGGTAATAAAATAATTTGCAAGTCGATTTAGAGAAAAGAATTAAATAGTATGAAAAAAATGATTTAGCTTACTGCACATTGGTCGACAATATTATATATTATGTCCTTGTGTTATTTTGTTTAAAAAAAACACTTAACCATAAATACTTTTGAAGTATTCTTAAAAGCAATGTTAAGGAAAAAATGTGCTTAAAATTGTATTTTGTTTTTCAGGGTAGGCACTATTTGAACTGGATTTAATTGAACTATTTATACATTTTTATATTTTATTAGGTTCTGCAATTCAGGTCACTTTATTTTCTGATTAGTTTTTTTGAATAGTTTGGGTTTGAACTTGGTTTGGCAAGGGCCGCCGCAATAATTTTCTAAACTATAGTTTTTATAGTTTAAGAAAAATAAAATTTGACCAATACGAATCTTTCTTAAAACTTATCAGTTACTATAAATAGTTTAGTTAAATCCAGTTAAAATCCACCCCACGTTCCAATCTGCCATATCCTCCCCTATTATGTATTAAGAATATTTCCATATAAATTTGTAAGTGATTCGGCTGTTTTTAAAACTTTAATTTTAGTATTTTACCACATAACAGTAAATCATTTTGGCTTATATTTTTATTTGTACTTCAATAGCCTACAAAAAAATAACAACAAATTTATCTAGTTCAAAACTAGTTTTAACCTGAATTTCAAAACATTTTTTTAAATTGACACTTATGTAAACATAAAGTACTTTGTATAACCTATATTTTTTTATAATAAGCTCACAACTAGTATCAGTTATTGTACATTTTTTTTATACAAATAAAAAATATTAAGAAAACTTGATTTTCGTTTGTAAATTGCTTAAGACTCGAGGTGATTTTATATTACATAAAAAATATATCTACATAAATATTATTATATGAACACTATGAATGCAACCACACCCATGTATAAACAATATTATGTATACATATTTTTTCCACTGACATAGTTGATTCATTTGTATTTATTTTTATAAGACATATTTGGGTCAAAGGGGATTAAACATATGTACTTCTTAAATGTCTTTACATTAGACTGGAGACCCTAATGATTTTATCGGATCCACTTTCAAGTACCTTTTCAAATACCGATATCGTTATGGGTTGCGTTCCTAAAAAATAAGAACCGGTTTCACTTTGGTTGGGGTCTTAAGTCATTTGCTTTTTTCTTCGGCTTTAAGTTTGTTTTTAAAAATGTAAGCCAATAAACAAATTTCATTTAAATATAGATCATTCTTTATTCTAACGGGGACTGCATGCGGTCGGGTTTTATTTACGTTTTAGACCAAAAAGCCAGACAAAATGTCGACTGTTAAGATAGTAAGTTTTTGGCAATTTTACTAGGTTATCTAGGAAACAGATTTTAGATTTTTTGCTTTTTTTATGTAAAAAATTCTGGTTTCAACATTGCAATTATTATAAATTTAATTTATTTAGTTACAAGAAACTGAAATTTTTAAATGAAAATCTATTTCCTACATAACATAGTAAAGAAGCCAAAGAACACGATTCGCTTTACTAAATTAAAATTGGACCATCCTATATCATCGACTAAAGTCAAATGTGTCTGGCTTTTTGGTCTAAAATATACCTATGAATGGCTGTTACTCATAAAAAAAAATGATTTAAATTAAAAATGATAACTTGAAGCTTATACAAATTAACCTGTAAATTAATTGAAATGGTTGGAATATATGAAAACATTTTTTTTCTTAAATATTTCCTACAGTAATTTCTTTAAAAACAGACCGGATGCAATCCCCACAAGTATAAAAGACTTTTGCAAAGTATTTTATTTCCCGAATAAGCCTAGCAAGTGTAATAGTAAATACAATCATCACAACAGTCTCGTTGAGCCAAAATAATAATTATTATAAATATACATCAGCCCTAAATAAATCCCATTATGGCTTACTAGAAAAGCTCCAAATCAAAAGCAGTAGTAAACATAATTATTATATTTTATGGCAATTTATTGAAAATTATAATGTTATAATTATCGGTAAATAAAAAGTTGTTTAATTGAAGAATGCATCATGTGCGGATCAAAATTATTTCTATTTCTTTACCATACAGCATACTACTTATAATTATTTCGATTTCTTAATTTTGGATTTTGGTTTAAATCAACAAAACCGTATACTATAGCCAAAATGTTTGTACATTTTTCTTAATTTACAATAAAAAGTATAAACATATACTTTATCGACGCGTAAGATTGAATTGAAAATCTATTCAATTGCTGTTAAAACGAAACCGTTTTTGTGTTTTCTGCAGTTGTTGTCGTTGTAATTGTTCTTATTTGT